GTTTCATGTTCAACTCCACCGCTTGTTAACATAATTGAAGATATTTAGCTTTTTTATGCCTCTGTTCACTCAATTATAAAAGGAAGACAAAAAGTGAAATTGTTGAGTACCCAGGTGATTTCACACCTCACAGGGTAGTTAATAAGAAATAAAAATGTGTGGTGCCTGGGAACATAGTACATAATATGTACAAATGGTCGCTCCATGTATGTAGCTGCTGTGATAAAAGGACCCATGACAATACGTCCATATTATTTTCAAGTTTTGGAAAAAACTATTGCTGAAATCAAGAAGTTAGTAACAGCTAGCTTTATTTTCCATGCTGCCCAGTCTAAGGACTGCACAAAGTTCTCAAGAGCTCTTTGTGGCCCATGTTAAGCACTCCTGCTTCTGATGCTGTCCTGGTGCTCAAGGCTACAGCACTACTAGAGGACAGGTTAAAAACTGCCATTTTAACTGGAATCCTGCTGATGACAGGACCTAATCATCTGAACTATAGCCATGGCCTGGTGATTCTGTGTGTTTGTGTATGTTTTGATTTTTCAGAGAAAGAACACTCAGTTCTGAAAAAAGTGCTGTTGGAAGATGAGGTCTTGGCTGCCATGGTATCTGTCATTGGCACTGCCACTACCCATTTGAGCCCTGAGTGAGTATAATCGTTGTTGTGGCTTGATCCTAGGCAGGATGATAGAACCTTGGGAAGAAACAGCAGGTAGCTGCCTTCTGAGCTGTCCTTTTACCCAGAATCAAATGTGGAGGGAGTTGTTTTGCTGGCAAAGTAAGAGGAAAGGGCTTTTTAGCAACATGGACTGTGGGGGTGGGAAAGCTATGGGGGAATAATGTGCAGAAGAACCACCTGTGGAGCATTTTGGGTTTTTTTTTTGTTTTTGTTTTTGTTTTTCCCTGTGGAGCATTTTGAAGCATACGTTTGAGTTCTCTGACTGGATTGTAAACTCCAGAACAGATTTAATTTGATTCACTGCTAAATCACTAGGGCCTAAAATGGGATGGGTCTTGGCACATAATATATGTTGAATTAATACCTGCTGAATGTGTGAATGATCGTGTTCTGGCCCATTGACTCAGTGACTCTAATGTGAACCCAGGGTATTTCAGAACCCTGGCTCCTTGGTGATATGTAGTCCTCTACCCCCAGTTTAGCTGCCCAGAGTGTCGCCTGCATTGTACCCCTTTTCTTGGATGGCAACATCTCCTTTCTGCCTGAAAACAGCTTCCCTTGCAGATTCCAGCCATTCCAGGTAAGGGTCTGATGGACCAGAAGGGAGAGAATCTTGGAACTTCTTTCCTTCAAGTTTTGAGGGCTAATCTGTAATGGGTTTGGGGTGCAGACAAGCCTATTTCTGGCAGGACAGGCTTACTAGAGCTCTTCTTCCTTTATAGGATGGCTCCTCAGGACAGAGGCGGCTTGTTGCACTGCTTATGGCCTTTGTCTGCTCCTTACCTCGAAATGTGCGTACATTTGGGAAGTACCCTGGTTTAACCCTGACAAGGGAAGGCAGATCCCAAGTGACTTCTGGGCAGAAATCTGCCATATGCTAGGCTGATCTTTTCACTGGAGAATTTAGTTCTCATCCATCCTAGCCCCTGCTGCCACTTTCTACTGGGTATCTCTTGGAGTGTGAGTGTTGTCTGCGTGCATTACATGGTCAGGTTTCATATAGGTGGAAATCCCTCAGCTGAACCAACTCATGCGGGAGCTTGTAGAGCTGAGCTGCTGCCCCAGCTGCCCCTCCTCCTCTACTGCCGCTGCCAAGTGCTTTGCAGGACTCCTCAACAAGCTCCCTGCAGGTACTGAAATGAGACTGGGGGTTGGGAGCCTCCTGGAATCAATTACTGATGAAATCATGGAAGTTCAGCTATTCTCTTTAAAAAAGGAGCTGTTAATAATATAATAGAGCCTCCCAAGGGACAGCCCTTAGGACAAGAGTCAAGACCCAGAGTTGGCCAAAGCATTACAGGACATAAGAGGGTTCAAGCAGAGTGTTCTGTGTAGGTCTGTCATCATACTCCCCACAGGGAGCTGTTAGAGATCATTTTTTACTAGAAATAGATCGCTCTTTCTGAATACTAGCACCCCTGTGTTAGGAGATACCAGGCTCTCATGCGAGTATCCTAGAGCTGAGTGGGCAAAGTCATAGCCAGAATGATACTATTCTTTTCTAAAGGCTTCTCAGGGAGCTCTGCATTTAAACAGCTTACATCTTCTGTGGTTAAAGGAGAAATGTGTAGCCTCTGGATCAGGTGTTTCTTATTTTTAGGGCAACAGCTAGATGAATTCCTGCAGCTGGCTGTGGACAAAGTAGAGGCTGGCCTTAGTCCTGGGCCCTATCGCAGTCAGGCCTTCACACTGCTTCTCTGGGTAAGGAGCTAGAATGGATTCTGGTTAGACAAAGAGACAATTATGTCTAGTTAAATAAAATTTCTCCTTTTGACCTCGAACTATACATGTGCTTCTTGCGACTCTGGGGTTTGAGTGTCATACCCTGATTGTTCTCTTTCTGATTATAGGTAACAAAGGCCCTTGTACTCAGATACCATCCTCTCAGCTCCTGCCTTACTGACCGGGTAAGTCCATTTTGGAGACAGGAGAGCCAAGGATGTAACCAGGAAATTCCCCATATATTCTATTCCTCCCAGAAACAACTGTCATCCTCCTCTTGGGTATTTAAGATTCATTCTTCTCTTCTAATAAACCTCTTTTCTCCAGCTCATGGGCCTCCTGAGTGATCCAGAATTAGGCCCGGCAGCAGCTGATGGCTTCTCTCTGCTCATGTCTGACTGCACTGATGTGTTAACCCGGGCTGGCCATGCTGAAGTGCGGATCATGTTCCGCCAGCGGTTCTTCACAGATAATGTGCCTGCTTTGGTCCAGGGCTTCCATGCTGCTTCCCAAGGTGAGAAGGGTCTAAAAGAAAGGCCCCAAATATATAGACCTCTCCTTTGCTCAGGCCACATTCTCTAAAGTAATTTAGAACCTGAGTGCTTCTTTAGAGCTGTACCTGAAAGGCTAAATGTCCAGATTCTTATCCCATGTTTTTCCTTTGATGAGCCTGTCTTGCCTTTTCTGAGCTTGAGGATTGTTGTTTTTTTTTTTTTTTAAGGTTTTATTTATTTATTCATGAGAGACAGAGAGAGACAGAGAGAGAGAGAGAGAGAGAGAGAGAGAGAGAGAGGTAGAGTCCCAGACAGAGGGAGAAGCAGGCTCCATGCAGGGATCCCGATGTGGGACTTGATCCCGGGTCTCCAGGATCATGCCCTGCGCTGAAGGCAGGCACCAAACTGCTGAGCCACCCAGCAGGGATCCCCCCCCCCTTTTTTTTAAACCTTTTTCTACGCTGATGTCCCAGCTTCATCAGAGGTTGGAGTTGAATCCCCAAGCCATATGTCTGAGACCAGTTTCTCCCTAAGCTTTTCCATGTTTTTACAGATGTGAAGCCAAATTACCTGAAGGGCCTGTCTCATGTACTTAATAGGCTGCCTAAGCCTGTGCTCTTGCCAGAGTTGCCCACGGTAAGCCCCTGCAATCAGAGCCTCAAACAGGGACTAAGCCACTGTCCCCAGCTGGGACATTGGGGGGGGTGGAGCAGGCTCATCACATATGTGATCATGCCCACCTTCTCTGTGGCCCCTTAGCTGCTTTCCTTGCTGCTGGAGGCCCTATCCTGCTCTGACTGTGTAGTACAGCTCTCCACCCTCAGCTGCCTTCAGCCTCTTCTATTGGAAGCACCCCAGGTCATGAGTCTTCACGTTGACACCCTCGTCACCAAGTTTCTGAACCTCAGCTCTAGCCCTTCCATGGTGCGTTAAACCCCCACAACTCTTTGGCCCTTACATCTCTCATGGGTCTCCCCTCACCCCCCTATGACTGTGTTCCAGGCTGTCCGGATTGCTGCACTGCAGTGTATGCATGCTCTTACTCGTCTGCCCACCACTGTGGTGAGTACCTGGGATGGTCCTCTCTGGCCTAGACCCTTCATAGAAGAGCCAGAGAAGTACATTTTTGCCTTAGGCGAGACTGGCCACCCTGCTGTGTGATTTAGGTAGGAAATGGGAGGTACACCCAGGCAAGGATTTGCCTGACTGCCCTGTAAGAGAACGGCCACCCTGCCACATAGCATCCTCTGAAATCACTAAAGGAGAATAGGAGGAATGTTAGTTTTAAAGTCATAGCAGCCCTTTTCAGTTGGTGTGGTTGAGCAAGGCTGTGGCTCTTCTAACTCCACAGCTGCTGCCGTACAAACCACAGGTGATCCGAGCTTTAGCCAAACCCCTGGATGATAAGAAGAGACTGGTGCGCAAGGAGGCAGTGTCAGCCAGGGGAGAGTGGTGAGTTTCTAGGTCGTGGGTAAGATGGGGTTGAAATGAGCCTCATTGCTGATGCTGCCAACATTCTTTTCACCTACAGGTTTCTGCTGGGGAGCCCTGGCAGCTGAGCCCAGTCCTGGCCTAGACTCTTTGGACAATCTAACCTGGAATTACTAACTATCAAGCCATCTTGCCCAAGTTAGGGAGACTACTCGCCTCTGATTGCCTCTCTCTGGGCCACTGTTGCATGGCCGTAAACATAGGAATCCTGACTTCTAATGACTTTGTGAAGTAACGAGTGTGAGACTACTTGTGTTTGAAGAAAGATCTTGGTCTTGGGGCTCTTCCATTTATTTGTTAGAAAAAAGGAGCTACGCTGCTGAGGGGTGAATGCAGGTGAATGTGGACCAGGATAGGATGATGGATGTGTGTGTACCTACTGGAGAATAAAAATTTCTTTTGGTAATGGGGCTGTCACATATTTCCCCGTCCCCACTTACACCTCTGTGGCACATAACTAGAACACCACTAATGACAAGGACTTGCCAAGAATTCTTTGGGACATCCACCCCTCTAAGTAGAACACAGGAAGCATGACCAGAATATGTACTCAGTAGGCCTTGACCCTGATCTCTCTCTTCCCCACCCTCTAGTAAAGGCAAAGAGAAGCTACGTATCTTTAAAAATCAAATACCTTTATTCTTCACCTTCAGCAGCATATGAGAAGTGGCAGTGACCTCAGCAGTACGCCTGGTGTCTTGCCCTGTTGAGAAGCCAGAATCTCCGCTCTACTGTTCAGGTGTTTTCTCAAATAGCAAGTGGAAGAGGTGGTGGCCAACCCCAGTGCTGGAACCTGGAGGAGGTCGGGGTCAGCACCTGGCAAGGTTGCTAGCTGCCTAATCTCCAGTCTGGGGCTGGAACTTCAGTTTGCCTGAGCTGAGTAAAGGGACATCAGTCCTATGATTTTTCCACATCATGCCTTGTTTCTGCAGTGGCCAAGAGACTGGTCCTTGAGTTGTCCCTGCATGATACTCTAAGGCAGGCCCACTGATTTTTTTGCCCAAGGATTCCAAGAAGCTATCCTTGGAGGCCGTTGAGACAATGCAGGAAGCAGAGTGGTGCTCAAGTTGTGGCTGACACATCCAGCTCACACCGCCATCACAGAGGCTGAGTGAGCAGTCACCCAGGGAGGGGGGTCCCAGCTCATTCCATTCCCATGGGGCAGGTGACTGGACGGTAACAGCACCCGAGTCAGCCAGTGCCTACAAGAGAAGATAGAATGTCTCTGAGTTCCAAGAGTTCCTGATCTTCCTTCCTGATCCTGTCCCCAGCAAGGATTCAAGGTACCTGAAGCTACCTTGGCATTAATTCCAAAGGTAACAAAAGTTCTGATCTGTCCAGTTTGTCCTCTGGTGCCTTGAGGGCCTTTAGAGGGTTCAAGCGAAACTTCTAAGGGACCACTGCAAGCACTGACAGGCAGGAATGTAATGAGGATGGGAAGGGGAAGAGGACGGGTACTTTCTGGTCACCTAGTCAGTAGTGCCTTGGGAGTTACATTCTTTTTTTTTTTTTTTTTTTTTTTAACTTAAATACTATTTGTCAACATACAGTATAACACCCAGGATTCATCCCATCAAGTGCCCTCTTTAGGGTCCATCACCCAGTCACCCCATCCCCCCACCTCCTCCCCTCTGTAACCCTTTGTTTCCCAGAGTTAGGAATCTCTCATGGTCTGTCTTCCTCTCTAATTTTTCCCCAGTTTCCCTCCTTTCCCTTATAGTCCCTTTCACTATTTCTTACATTCCACATATACGTGAAACCACATGATGATTGTTCTTGGAAGCTGCGATTTGAAAAGTGATTTACCTTTGTCTCTTGGGCTCAGAGAGCTAACTTCATTTTTTTTTTTTTTTTTGTCTTAGGACTTATGTTACAAATAGATTAATGCAATCCCACATATTGTTGGCTTGAACTCCAGACACTGCCATACAAATGGGAGGAAGCTAGTGGTCACTGTATCCTACCTAGAGGTCCCTTCTTAACAGCTTTCTTAGGAGTCTGTTTTGGTTCCCTGTATAAGCCTCAGGGGTTTGGGCCTTAAGCTACTTTGGCTCAAATGAGCAATGATTTCTACTCCCAGAGTCTAGATTTGCAATGGCTATGGTAGCCACTAGTCACATGTGCCTGTTTCAATTAGTGAAAATTAAAAGTTCAATTTATGGATGCATCAGCCATACTTCAAGTGTTCAGCAACCATATGTGGCTAGTGGCTAATGTCTTGTACAGCATAGGTATAGAAAGTTTATCTTAAGAGTTCTATTGGATGGGACTGATCTAGATGTTTTACTTTACCTTCGTGTGTCCACACCCAGGAATACCTTCCAGTTGTCCAAGCAGCCGTAGTTGTAATGATTCCTAAAAACCTAGAGCCAAGAAAAACACAGGTTTCTACAGACCCCTGTTTTTACTTAATCGTCTCCTAATTTTAGAGCCCAAATTGGCTAAGCTAAAGTTCAGCTAGGCAAGTTCCAACCTTTTATGACACCTGCCCTATTGGCCCTGCCCATGGCTTCTGTTTTCGGGACAGCAAGTTTAATTACCCTCCACCCCAAGCCCACAGTCCTACTCACTCTGCCCTTGGCCTGCAGCCGACGTCTCTCCTTCCTGTTGATGTGCCTTTCGATACTAGTTTCACCTCGACTGATGAGAACAGCGTGCCAAATAGTTAGGGCACCCAAGGCAAGTGCTACAGAACTAAGAAAAGAGGGGCCAAGATTGGTGGGGAGCTTAGAGGAGGGAGTTGCTCCAAGTAGGTCTGAATCTGAAACTGAGCTGAGCAGTAAAGACCCACCAGAGACCTCTCTGCCTAAGTCTTATCTCCCAGCCTACATCCTAGGTTGTTGCTTCACTACATCCATAAAAAGCATTAATGAAGAAGCATTAACCTGAGCAAAGAATAAATTACGTAGAAAGAAGGGTGAGGAAACAAGTCTGTGTTACTAATAAAAATGTCCCATAGTTCCTAAAAGAACCAGCCTTACAAAACAGCAACAGGTAGTAAAAGCACCAGGTTTAGAACAGGGAGCACACAATTCCAATTGCAGCTCTCCCATTCCCAGCTATGATCAGCCAGCAGCTCACTTCACCCTCTCCTCCTCAGTTCTCCACATCTGGAAAATGCACGGCTCCACTCTGGGGTAGGAGTTTAGCTTACCTGGGCACAACATCCAGTGCTAGCATCCTTAGTGTTCCCTGCCCCAAAATGCTGAAGACAATGAAGCCCTGACTCTCTGCCAAGCTAAGTCACACTAGGAACAGTGGCAAAGGACAGGGATGGGTCCTGCCTACCCACAGGCACTGGAAAAGATGGTCCTGAAGCTGCCCCCCACTTAAACTGCCAAAAATGATCGTTCAATACCTGCACAGGAACCAGAGGTAGACAAGACTCTTGTGAGTCACTCTTTCTCGGAAGGAGAAGCTGGGTGGTGGGGTCTGGTGATATGTCTAGAAAAAGAGAACAACGAGGTGGTTCATTTGCTTTGTTGGATCTCCATCACAACCCCAGCACCTGCAGGCAGGGAAGTGACCAAAGCCCAGGATGAGAAATAGGGAGTTAAGCCACAGAGGAGTTAGGGCAGCAGCCAGATGGGTGGGCCAAGCCCGGCAGCACCATCATGTGAACACACACTGGGCAGAGCAGGTCTGGACAGGATGGCAAAGCATGGGAGGAGCTGACCCTGGGCCTTCAGATTTGACGACACAAATGGGGCTCCAGGGGAAGCCACTACACTTCCCAATGAGAACTCCCTCACCATGTGGCTGCAATCCTCAAGAGAAGAGACCGGGTCCACACACAATGCAAGCACAAGCAGGAAGACCTGAGCTCCACTAAGGGCTGAAAGGGCAGCAGAGCTAAGTGGTATAGTTGTGGCCCAAGACCTGTCAGAATAAGGGTCCTAAAAGGCTCAGGAGAAGGGATGATCCTGACAATGGATGCAGAAAGACCAGGAACAAAGGGTGATCAGACTGGCCCAGCCTGATCTCTGTCCCCTGGAACCCCATTACATGGACTAACACAGACTTTGCTGCTCAGGCCATCACCAAGGCAGAGTCCTCACTCAGCCCAAAAAAGGTGATAATGGGATAGAGAGCCCAAAACTGTCACAAACCAGGGACTTGAATCTACCCCCAGGCCACTTAGTCCACTCATGGCAGACAGCCTCCCAGAACACCCCTGATCCAGTATGGAGAGGCCCCTTAGCCAGCCTCTACTACTCCACTAGCAGGTGGGCCCCCGCTGCCTCAGCAACTCTATACCCCCTGGCCTGAGCAGCAGGAGGCAGTGGGGTGGGGTCAGCCCACCTGGTTGGCAACCGCCTGTAGTTTGTTCTTGTCGAGCTGTTTCATTTTCTACGGGGATGGAAAACAGTACTGGTTACACTCTCAGGCCTCTAGGATGGGGATGCTACCAGCCCCACTCCTTCGGGACAGATTCCATGCCCCAAAATTCTGAGCTGCCCTGCTCCTAACTATGGGCTCACCTCGATGGCAGCATAAGCTTCCCGGAAAAGGTCCCAACTTCCATAGCTGCAGTAGACACAGCCCAGAGTCATGAAAAAGCAGAAAGAGAAGAAGTACCGATGGTTATAGTGGCCCACACAGTTGTTTAGCCAGGCTGGTTGGGGAAGGATTAAGGACAAGATCAAACACAGCTTCAGGTCTCTCTGGTTCATCCCTGCTTCATAATGGCATCCAAGTACAGGGCTTCCAGTCACCAAGAACTATTTCCCAAAGGCAAGAAAACATGGGACTATTTTCCAGAGGCTAAAGCTTTTAAAGAGCCTTCAAAAGTCCCACTGGGAAATCATGAAAACAAATCCTTCAGCAAAATTGGTAGAGCAAATCCTCTACCAATACTTCAACCTAGCCATTTGTATGGGAAAGCAGAGAATATCCAGTGGACAACATGAAGTCCAAACATCTCTTCCCATCCCATAAATGTTAGCATGACAGTCTACAAAAGAAAGAACTGTTAGAATAGATGCCCTGCTCCAAGAAGATCTGTCCCACAGAGCTTGTAAGCCTCCTGCTTCCCCCTGGAGATGGCCAATCTCCACCATTCCTCTTCTACTAACTTCTCATGAACCTTCGTTGGGATGAGGGATGATGCCTTGGTTGTGGCCCTTAACCTGGTGCAGGGCTCTGGAGCTAAAGGAGGAGGCCTCAGGCAGAAAAGATAAAAGGATACGGCAGTGATGATCCATCTTCAGCACACACCTGTGAGGGAGGGACACAGGCTCTGTTACGGTGGTCAAGGTTCTTGAGATGTCAGTGCCAATCCTTTCCTACAAGGCCCAGCATCCTGCTGAGGTGGAAAGGGCACAGACTTTGAAGACCGCCAGGCCTTGCTTCAAGCCCTGCTTCATTGGCTACATGATCTTGGACAAGGTTAACTCATCTCTCTGAAGCTCAGTGTCCATAAATGGTGACAATGGCTAACCCAGGACCATCCTAGGACCAGGTGTCACGATGTGAGGGCACACTGCCTGGTATATGACGCGCGCTTCATAAACGTCTTCTCAAACTTTAGGTCTAAATTTTGCCCGAGGGCTTCAGCAAACAGGCCACAGCTGGGGTTCACAGTGAGCAAAGCCAAGACCCACCTATTGCAAATGCTGCAGTGGTGTGTTCGGGCCGGCTTGGGGTAAATGCACTTCTTACAGATGGAGACTGTTGCGATATCATTCCTGCCCTGTGCAAAGGGAGAAAAGCTTCATGACACTGTGGCAGCACAATTCTATACCTCAAAAGATACTGAGGCACTCTCCCTCCCCACTCCTGGACCTGGCTCCCACAGCCTGCAGTTCTATCCTTCCAAATGCCCCTGTGGGGACCCACCTGGGGTGGGTATCCAGGTGGAGTGGTGATGGCCTGGTAGTAATGGAAGACGATAAGGATCAGATTCCAGTGGCTGTAGAAGAAGTGCCAGCAGAGCCGTGGCACTGAGTATGTTCGGAGGATGAGAGGCAGGACACACAGGTAAGCGATGGCCACGATGGAGCTGGTCAGCACAATCACCAACACCACGAACACCTGTCAACACCAGTGAGGTCAGGGAGACACAGAGTTTGCCAATACCAAGAGTACACTCAGGAATTTCCCTGGGGTAGGGGGCTAGTGTGGGTCCCAAACCCAGTGTGGGTCCATCAGATACATGTCCTTCTGCTACCCCAAAACATCCCTTTTCCTGCTCCCTGGGCATCACTCACCACCCCACACCAGCGGATCACGTTGTCCACCAGCCAGTAGATAGGCTCAAAGGCAGCATCAACAGCGGTGTCACTGCCCCCAAAGGAGTTGTAGAGCAGGGAGCGCAGGCAGACCTTGCCATAGCGCCAGCGCTGTACCAGGCCCCGGAGCAGAGGTGGGCAGCGGCGCCTGTAGCCCAGGAGCAGAAGCAGGCGCAGGCAGAGGCGGGCAGGGCCCAGCAGCAGGCTCCGCTGGCCCCGCATGGCTCCTAGAAGAGCACATCATTGTGAGGAGCCAGCCTAGTCCCGTTCCTCCCTATCCCACCAGGGAGGAGAAGGCAAAGGCCTAAGAATAAGGCCCAATTGAGCCAGTCACCAGCTGTGAGAAGGAGGAAGGTCACTTCACTTCTCTGCAGAATGGGTGGTGCCAGTGTCCCAACCAGATTACACGGGTAGGGTCTGGAGGTTCTGAGCCTGCAGAAATACTACGTACATTGCACCACTTCGGTGCACAGCAAATCCAAGATGATGCACACCTAGAGTAAAGGGCTGAGGGAGAGGAAGGCAGCTCCAAGCCAAAGCAGGGTCTTTAGAGTTGTCTGTGTAGACCACTGGGTGGAGCACAGCTGACATGCACAAACCTGCCACCACGTCTCTGTAGGCATGGCCACCATAGCAGAGGATTCCGAGGGTATCCTGCTCTAGCCCAATGACCTACCTCCTAACAATTCTTCACCAAGGAACAGCCAGTGGGGGAGTGAATGCACAGCATGTGGATCCTACATCTAGATCTGCCCTGGTGCTGAATCTTGGCAAAAGATACTCATCTTTCCTTTTTTTTTTTTTTTTAAGAGTTTATTTACTTATTCATGAGAGAGGCAGAGACCAGACAGAGGGAAAAGCAGGCTCCTTGCAGGGAGCCCGATGTGGGACTCGATCCCTGGGCCAGGATCACACCCTGGGCTGAAGACAGATGCTCAACTCCTGAGCCACCCCAGGCATCCCAATATTCATCTTTCCTACTTCCTCTGGGCTGATGTTATAGGCCCCCAGACTCAACCTGTAGCATGAGAGTCCCTGTCTCCTGTCAGGACACCTCAGCTACCCTGCATGACATAAGATGCTTTGTCTTCAATTCCAGTCCCAGCCTGACCCCAAGGATACAAAAGCCAAGACAACTTCAGGTATTCATGGCCGAATAACACCATAGGTAAGAGAGACTGGCCATAGGAGGGAGGCCTTCATACTATTGTTCATGAAGACCACAGAGCCTATTGTCTCAGTGATGAGTCTCCCCTACCTAGTTCTAGCTGGACACCCATGAGTCTTCTCCACAGCTGCTGCTCTTGGCCCCAAGCTTCCCAGCTCTACAAGTACTTTCATCTCTATGCGATTTCTACCTCACACAATAGCCATGGGAGATCAGCTGCCCGTGCAACATCTAGAACAGAAGTCATAGACCCCTTCGATGTTAGTCTCATCAATTCTGCAGATTAAAGCTCTTATCAGAAAAGAAATTCTCTAATTTCCCTCTAGGGCTACTATGTCCTCTGCAACTCCACTGACTTATTTGTTTATTTATTTATTTTCCACTGACTTATTTAACAGGCAGCTCAAAACCCAACAGAAACTGGAGGAGGCTGCTCCACTGTAGTGATGGTTTCAGTTTAGTAACTGGAGCAAGGTACTCTCCTTGCACACTGGCTTATCACTAGAGGTCTTTCCAAAAAAACCAACCAAACAAAAAACACTTCATTACCTCCTTCCACAACCCCCCCCTTTTTTAAAGATTTTATTTACTTATTAATGAGAGAGAGGGAGAGACACAGGCGGAGGGAGAAGCAGGCTCCATGCAGGAGGCCCGATGTTGGACCCGATTCCAGGCGGGACTCCAGGATCACGCCCTGAGCCAAAGGCAGACACTCAACTGCTGAGCCACCCAGGCATCCCTCCACAAGTCCTTTAATGACCTAAGGCAAAAAGGAATCCACCAGACAAGGCCAGCAAAGAGAAGAAATAGTTCAGTAAGGACCTATTCTGCATCAGGATAAAAAAAAAACAAAACTGGCCATTCCCATCACCTCCTAGGAGTTAAGAGACTTAAGAAGCAGTGTAGAAAGGAAAGGAAAGGTCAGCCTTCCTACTTCCTCTGAGTTGGAGTCCTGTTGCTTGGAACCATGATTTGGCTTGAAAGCATGAATTTTCAAAATAATGTACAGCCATAGTCAAATATAAGAGTGAGACAAACATACTACCCCACAATAAATCCAAGTGACTCACATTATCCACACTACTGTTCACTCCTTACTGTGGCTAATGCAGAGTTTCCTATTTGCTAGAATACTCTTTATACCAACAGCTTGCAAACAAGATGCATTCCCCACCCATTAATAAACACAAATTATATGCCATCTGTTCTGTCTACAAAAAAAACCAGAAATGTTCCTTTTCAGATTCTCCACCTTTCAGATTGTTGTCAACCACCTCTGGTATTCCTGAGCTCTATAGGAAATGCCTGCCTCAAGGACTAGACTTACTAACTCTCATCTACCCTATAAACTTGACTACTTAGGGTTCCATTCTGTCCTTACGTAGTTCTACGACCTTGGGCAAATCACCCAAAAGTGCTGGACCTCAATCTCCTTGTGTTCTCATTCAGAGACAGGGTAGGGTTAAATGTCCCTTTCAGCTGTAACCCTTTATCGTTTTATATATACACTTGGCTAAGGTAGAAATGAAATGTTTACAAAATGCTTAGCACGATATCTGGTTCATAGAAGGGCTCAATAAATACTTTTTGAAAGAATGGAAGATGCAGAAGTGGTAAGGCTGGTCAGACATCTGTCTGTGCTGCAAATAATAGCAAGTGCACTCCTGCCAATGTGATAACGCTTATTTAGTATATGATGCTATCATTCTTTTGGTCAGTAAAAAGGAAATAAAAATCATTGTTAGTATCATAGCATTTAAGAACTAGAAAGGATTTTTTATAACAAGTCCAACCAGAAATCAACCAAAACATAAACTGAAAGCTTGCTGATGCAGAGCTACACATTAGATTTGAGTAAAGAGTCTGAAGCCAACCCCCTCACAACTCAGTTAGTGGGGTTTAGGGGGCATGGGGATGCCAGGGAAGAGATATTGTGGTCCACACTTGAACATAGAGTCCCTGATTTCTCAGGAAATTGAGTTAAAGCAGAACTCAAAAAAAAAAAAAATGTGTGTATGTGTGTTGGGGTGGGGAATGGAGAATCAGGGCAAAGCAGAGCTTCACTATCACCCCAAGCACAAGCCTTTAGCACTGATCCCTCAGTAGCAACCACAGGCCATAGTGACATATGCCACCAGATTAGATGGGATTGAAGGCCACAGCACTCGCCTCTTTCCAAGGCTCTAAGTCACCATCTGTTTTCCTAGGGGAAACTGGATTGGTGAGGGCTGGAGGGTTTGCACAGGGAGGGACATATGCCAAAGTCACCAGAGGGCAAGAGAAACTAAGATGAAAGTCGTAGCAAATCTCAGATGGACAAAGATGCTGTTCTCAGGATGTCTGCCTATCTTAAGCAGCAGTTGTCACTCATCGGTAAGAGCAGCATTCTACTCACGTGCAGACTTCCATTCCGGACTAACATGCTTGAAAAAGAAAAAGTTATGAATGGGCCCACACGACCTGAGCTCCGCTTGAGAGGATCCGACTGCAAGATCTGAAGCTGCAGTCACAAAAATCCGGAAAAGGCTTTATTTCTGAATGGGGGTGGTGTGATCAAAGTACGATAGAAGATGTAAAAAAAAAAAAAAAAAAAAAAAAACTTGGGTTCCGGTTTGGGCTCTACCTTGAACTGTCTTTGAGCCACTGGACAAGTCAAATCCTGTCTCTGGATCTGAGTTTCCAAATCTCTACAATGGGCAAGTTGGGTTGGCTAACCTCCTTCCAGCTCCGCGCGTTACAGCTGCCCCGAGAGTGCACTCCCCCAGGCTTGTGCAGGGCACGGCCGTGCAGGGCGCGACAACGAGAGAACAGGAACCTGAGCTCACGAAAAGGCCCCAAACAGGCCCCGACCCTACAAAAAAGGGCAGGACTGGGGAGCAAAGGCCGCGGCTCCGCTCTTACCTGCCGCCTGCCGACTCCCCAGTCAGCCAAATGGAACCCCGCAGCCTCCGCCGCCGCTCACTGCCACCCCCTCCAGGTCTGCAACCCAGCCGGGCCGGTCTCAGTCCAACCAACCATCGCGGGCCACCCGAAGTACCAGCCTGCAGACTGGGACCCGCTGCCAGCCCATCCTGGACCACAGGCGCAAGCGCAGGCGTTCCGGAGCCCCGCCCCCGCTCTGGTCCCGGAGCAACCTGGGAAATAAAGTTTGACGGAGGAGGTGCTCCCGAAGGCCACGTGACAATTCGCACCAATTGGCGCGTTTCTTACTGCAGAACTGCTCCTGAACTTTGGCCAATGAGAAGCCGACTTCGTTTCCCTCCAGTGGCAGTCATGGCGCCACCCGTGAGGTACTGCATCCCGGGTAAGTGTGCGGGGACCGAAGCGAATTCTGGATGGGGCAGGGAGGCAGGAAGGCTGGATGACCAACACCCTCTGAAGACCCATGACTGATGCAGCGTTTCTCTTCAGGCGAACGTCTGTGTAACTTGGAGGAGGGCAGCCCGGGCAGCGGCACTTATACTCGCCACGGCTACATCTTTTCGTCGCTTGCTGGCTGCCTGACGAAGAGCAGCGAGAATGGCGCGGTAAAGGGGGCTGCTTCCCATTTCCTCCTTCTCTGCTTTTCTTTTAGGCTGCTTTTGATTTCGCGGTCGATAGGAAAGGGCACCGCGGACGCGTCTTTAGGACCTCAGCAGAACAGCTGGTCTCCGAGTTTCTTCCAGCTGAGGTCTCCACTGCTGGGCACTTCGCCACCACAGGCCGGATGTGGTCCCGCTTGATTCTATTGCTGACATTCGGGGAAGGAAGTCAGCGGACGAGCAGAGGCGGCTTCCGCCTGCAGTGAGCTGAATCTTGTCCGAATGTCGCCTACCTTTCTGGTTTCATCTTGCTCCGCTATTCCCACCCCACTCTGCAGTCTAGTCACACAGGCTTCTTTGTCGCTGGTGGGGTAAGCTCTCTTCTGCCACAGAACCGATGAACACACGCTGTTTGTCACGCGCCCATCTCCTCCTTAGCCTGTTTAATTCCCACCTACTTTTCAGATAGCCTCTCTAGTGTCACTTTTATCAGTAGCCCTCCGAGACCCACTAGTCAGGGAAATGAGTTTTGTGAGCTTTTATTTTTTGTTTTGTTAAACTCTCACAAAGAACTAAATTTCTTTCCTCTGTGTGCTCTTCTTTGCATAAAATTAAGCATTCGGTTACCTGTTCCTCCTAGGCTCTTCCCTTATTAGACTCTAAGTTCCACGAAAACAAACCTTGCCACCATACCTTTAGTGCTGAGCACAGCAGCCTGTGCTCACTAAATGTTTGTTGAATGCCTAACACTGATCCAGGATTAGCCCAGGATCGGATAAACAGTCTTTGAAGGACCCCCTTAAAGACAGGGAGCATTAATAGAGAATTCAGAATTAGAACATTTAGGTATTGGCTAACTAGACCTTGTTTCTGCTTTAGGTTAGAAACTTGATCTCTCTGGTTTTAGTTTTTGCTCAGATGTAAAATGAAAGACTTCTTAATCAATTTTAAGACTGTAACAGTTCTAAGTTTGTTCGTTTCATAGAAATAGATATCTATTGAGCATTTTCATGTGCCAGGCACAATCTTTACCTCTAGAGATATGGTAATGAGCCAGATACACATGATCCCTGCTACCAAGGGACACAGACATAAATTATAAACAAGTAAATGCTCAAATTGGTTTACGGCTACTAAAGTCATGACTGTTTTTGAAAGAATATTACAGGTTACCATGAGAACATGTAAAGGACAAACCCATTGTAGTCAACAGAAGTGATGTTTAACCTGAATCTAAAGGATAAATAAGAGTTGAGTGGGGGAAAAAAAAAAAAAAAGAGTTGAGTGGAGAGCGCAGTCCTGGGAGAAAGAACAGGTTGAACACAAATCCTGAGATGGGAACATGTTTAGTGCGTTAGTGAAACTGAAAGAAGGCCCGAAAACTGAAGCATAGGAAACAAGAGTCAAGTAAAAGATGAGGTTCAAAATATGTCTTGGGGTGCCTGGGTGGCTCAATTGGTTGAGCGTCCGACTCCGGATATCAACTCCAGTCATGATCTAAGGGTCCTGGGATCAAGCCCGGTGTCAGTGCCCCCTACCCCCCTCAGTGGGGAATCTGCTTGAGATTCTCTCCCTCCCTCTCCTTCCGCCCCTCTCCCACTTGCGCATGCTTTCTCTCTCTCTGAAATAAATCTTTAAAAGATACATATTTTATACCAATAGCCAATGCCATGCTCAAAGGGAAAACTACAAGTATTCCCTTAAAATAGAAAAAATAAAGTATGGCCATTATTATATAATATTTATTTGGAAATTCTAGCCAGTACAATAGAGTGAAAATCAGAAGGAAGTAGTAGAACTTTGAAGAGTCAAGTTATCCACAATTGGTTATATACCAAGAAATTCCAAGAAAATCACAAAAAAACTTGTTAGAACTGTTCTGAAATGATTAGATTATGTCTTCTAGTAGCATCTTTCTTTTGAAAAATGGCCCCTTGACCTTCCTATTGCCTTAAATTTCTAAGACTATCTGCCCTGGGCACATATGAGTCTGTAGTCCATCTGTGCTTGTGATCTCAGCTGTGGACCAAAGCATTCCTACATTATTCTTAAGCCACAGATACCTTTATGGAAGGCTTAGTCAAGATCTCACATTTTATTGTTCTGTCTATAGCTTCCTGTGATTTCTGTGATGAGAGAAACAGAATCTCAATTACTACCAGATGTGGGGACTATTGTAACCTGTAAGGTAAGTAGGTCTTAACTTCCCTGCTTAGGACACCTGTTCAATGGTGAAATCATGATCATTGTGGAAGTGCTCTTTCTTATGTGGTAGTCACTAGCCATATGTGGCCATTTAATTGAAATGAATTAAAATTGAAAGTTCATTTCCTTCATCTCACTAGCTACATTCCAAGTGCTCACATATAGTTAACAGCTGCCTCGTTGGCCAGCACAGAACATTTTAATCATCACAGTGTTACTGGACTGTGCCGGCCTAGAAAGTTCTGGGATAGTGATCAAGGCAGCCAAGTTCGGGATCCCTGGGTGGCGCAGCAGTTTGGCGCCTGCCTGTGGCCCAGGGCGCGATCCTGAAAACCCGGGATCGAATCCCACGTCGGGCTCCCGGTGCATGGAGCCTGCTTCTCCCTCTGCCTGTGTCTTTGCCTCTCTCTCTCTCTATGACTATCATAAATGAGTAAAAAAAAATTATAAAAAAAAAAAAGGCAGCCAAGTTCAAGCATGCATAGCTCTTTCACTGAGCTGATTCCCTGAGTATGCAGTTTGGGAAACAGGTGCCAAAGGGTAATAAGGAAGCCTATTTTTAATATTTAGAAGCTATTTTACTCTGGAGAGAAGCAAAAGACATTATAAAGACCTATTAAATTTCATCTTTTAGGGCACTTGGGTGGTTCAGTCAGTTAAATGTCTGCCTTCGGCTCAGGTGGTGATCCTAGGATCCAGCCCTGCATCAGGCTCCCTGCTCAGCAGGGAGTCTGCTTTTCTGTCTCCCTCTGCCCCTTCTCTCCACTCATGCTGTGTCTCTTTCTCTCAAATAAATAAATAAAATCTTTTTTAAAAATAAATTTCATCATTTCGGGTGTTTCAGGGGAAATACAAATTAATGCTATACTGATCAGTAACTACAAGACATCCTTACTCTCTGCCCACCCCCATGTTAAGTTAAATCAACTTGTAGTTCTTAGTTGCTGTTTATAAATTGTTCCAGCAGAAAATGTGTTATTCTTAAAATAACTGAAGAGGCAGTGATCCAAAATTACACAGTAATTGAAATGTACACTTAAATTCTGTCCACTGTACCGGGCTCTTGGTAAGATCTGTTAAAGGTGTAGATTTGCTGTAATGCCCTGTTTTTATTTGTTAGGCTTCTGTATTTTTCAAGATATATTCCATATTATTTCATTGGATGCCCACAGTAACTTTATTAGGTGGCCGGAGTGACTCTCATTCCATTTGACATATATCATTTATGCAGAATTAAGTAGGAGTTAACTTGTTTTAAATTCTGTAATTAGGATTGCTTGGACTAAAACACTGGTAATTCCTTTCTTGCTGCCTCCTTGAACTGACAACTGCTACTACTCTAATGCTGATCTTTTCTCTGTTCCACAGGTCTCTAGCATCAATTCACGCTTTGCCAAAGTGCACATCCTATATGTGGGGTCCACACCACTTAAGAACTCTTTTCGAGGAACTATCCGGTAAGAAGTATTCATGTTTTTGCATTTGCATCAGCACCTGGAATGAGATTAGAACAGGGATTGAAATTTTTAGGGACAATTACAGTTCCTATATCTACCTGCCTCTCTCTCTCTCTCTCCTCTTTGTTCTTTGATTCTGTCCAGGTAGTGTCCAAAGGAAATGTTATAATATATGAGCAAGGACAAAAGGAAAATATTGACAAGATTGGGCTTTAAAATAAAATGAAAAGAATTGAGCTAAGCCAGAAACTAGTGTTGCAGGATGTTCAAATGAAACAAATTAGGGGCACCTGGGTAGCTCAGTGGTTGAGTGTCTGCCTTTGGCTCGGGTCGTGATCCCGGGGTCCTGGGATTGAATCCTGCACCGGGCTCCATGCAGGGAGCCTGCTTCTCCCTCTGCCAATGTCTCTGCCTCTTTCTGTATCTCTCATGAATAAATAAAATCTTAAAAAAAAAAAAAGTTAAAGGCATCTTAAGAAATATCTTCCTTTTTTGTATTTAATATAGTCTAAATCTAAGAATTGAAAGACTTTAAAAAGGTTAGTGGGTGCGCAGCCCCGGTGGCGCAGCAGTTTAGTGCCGCCTGCAGCCCAGGGCATGATCCTGGAGACCCTGGATCGAGTCCCACGTCAGGCTCTCTGCATGGAGTCTGCTTCTCCCTCTGACTGAGTCTCTGCCTCTCTGTCTCTATAAATAAATAAAATCTTAAAAAAAAAAAAAAAAAAGGTTAGTGGGTGAGGGGCACCTGTCTGGCTCAGTCAGTAAAGCATGTAAGTCTTGATCTCGGTGTTTTGAGTTCAGGCCCTATGTTGGGTATAGAGATTACTTAAAAATAGAATCTTAGAGGTGCCTGAGTGGCTCCGTTGGTTGAGCGACCGACTTGTGATCTCAACTCAGATCATGATCTCATAAGCTGTCGTCAGATCAAGCCTCGTGTCTGGCTCTGCACTCAGTGAAGGGTCTGCTTGAGATTCTCTCCCTCTGTAAAATAGGGTGCACGCTCCCCCCCCACTCATGGCATATGCACTCTTTCTCTCTCTCTGTAAAATAAATGAATCTTAAAAAAATAAAATATATTTTTAAAAAGGTGAGTGAAATGGTAGGGTTTTGTTTTTTCCTGTAGGTTTTTTAAGAAGAGACAAACAATTCTTGTGAGCTAGATATAGCTTCTAAGGCCCTTTCCACCCTCAGGATTCCATGTTGGTACTATAGTGCTTCTGTTAAAGCTTTCCTAAGGCAGCAAAGTTCCTTATTCTTTCCTGCCAAATCTGATCTGCTTTTCTCTAGTCAAAGGTATTGATACTGCTGCTCTGTGTGACCCAAGAATGGGAATGTGGTTTTCTCCTCCAGGTGAGGACTTGGAATGCTTCTCCACCCCACTTCTGGGTGGCCTTTGGGTCCCAATTATGATTTGTTCTCTCTACTCTTGTAGCTCTCTGTCTGCTATGATTCTGCAGGAAATTCTTTCTCACAGATAATTAATCTTTTGTTAATTCTTTTTTATAGCAAGGAAGATGTCCGAGCTACTGAAAAAGACAAGGTTGTTGGTTGGTTCTTTTTTTTTTTTCCCTTATGACTTTAGGAATCTCGATCCTTTTAAATTACTCCAGGGAATTTCAAACATCTGTGGGAATGTGGATCCAAAGGTCCAAGGAATTTTAAGGTGTTTCCTACTGGAAAGTGTGGAATTCACCTCACTGTCCTTTTCCTTTCCTTAGGATTTTTTGTTTGCTCTATTGAGCAGAAGGGGACTACTTTACTCCTTGCCTTTGAAGCCAGGTGTCTATTCTTTGCTATTCCCTCAGATTTACTTTGGATTCTTTCAGAGCCAACTGTAGTAACTTTTGTCAAAGTCAGATCCGTTACCAGGTTATTGAATTAAAAATCTTTCATTTAAAAAAATAAATAAAAAATAAAAATCTTTCATTTATATGATGTAAAAGCAATAAAAGTTGTTGATTGGCTTCACTAACGATGACTTCCACCCTGTGGAGTTAAAAAGTACACTGGTTCTACCAGAGGGGCAAATAGTTTCATATAGATCTGATTTAGAGCTTTCACTTAACATTCCTGTTCTTTCTTTACAGGTTGAGATTTATAAGAGTTTTCGCCCCGGTGACATTGTCTTGGCCAAAGTGGTATCCTTTATTCCAGCAGTCTTGTGGTCCTTTGTCAAAACAAGAAATAGAAGTAGAAAACAACTCAAGTGGCTATGGGAGGGAAGACTTCTCACCCATTGTTTTCCTTCACCAGTATTGTGTGACTAGATCTCTCTGGGTGATGCACAATCAAACTACCTCCTGACCACTGCTGAGAATGAACTTGGGGTGGTGGTGGCCCACAGTGAATCGGGTGAGTAGGTCCATACATCCACATGCTTCTCTTTCCCTGGGAGCTACAGTTTGGGATTAATTCACTGTTTTCTCTCGTTACCCTGGTTTTAAATCTAGACAGCAATATGAATGTCAGTCACTTACTACGGAGATTAGAATGATTCTCTTTATATAATTGTAAGGGGGGATTCACTGCATAAGGCTTTTCTGTATGAGGTGAGGTTCACTAGGTAGTTTGATGACACTTCAGGTCATAACCAGCTGAAAAGGGAAGGGTCTTAGTAAACATTTTGGGGGGGGGATCCCTGGGTGGCGCAGCGGTTTGGCACCTGCCTTTGGCCCAGGGCGCGATCCTGGAGACCCGGGATCGAATCCCACGTCGGGCTCCCGGTGCATGGAGCCTGTTTCTCCCTCTGCCTATGTCTCTGCCTCTCTCTCTTTCTCTGTGTGTGACTATCATAAATAAATAAAAATTAAAAAAAAAAAAAGTAAACATTTGGGGTCCCAGCTCCAACACTAGCTCTTCCCTTCCAGGTGTCCAGATGGTTCCCATTAGCTGGTGTGAGATGCAGTGCCCTAAGACCCACACTAAAGAATTCCGGAAAGTGGCCAGAGTACAGCCTGAATTCTTACAGACCTAAGCAGCTACATTTTACCCCATGGAGAGGGGTAAGCCGTTTCTAAGAGTATATACATGTATGAACCCAACATCAAGATGCCGTTGTCTTTATTCAAACACCTGTGGTTGGCTAACAACCAGAAAAATCTGCCAGCAACTTATACTGTAGGTGGAACATTTTTCTTATGAACCTTTCAGTGGATTTCATTCTCGAGTGATGAATTTTTTTGGAGGCGCCAGCAGACAAACTGTATAATATTGGAAGTAGCCCGATCTTTCTGACAGTCTCACAGATATGTATTTTTGCTGTGACAAAGAAAACGTTTTTACTAAAAGGATTTTATGGCTTCTGTTGTCTTGAGTAGGGAAGGGAATCTAAAAAGCATCATGACATTTAAAGCTGGGGTTTGCCTGGTTGCACCCATTAACTTACAAGTCAAGTGCTTGCTTTCTCTGGAAAAGCCTAATCTCCAATCTTTTTTATACTTTTTATGTTCACTTTCAAGCACTTCCACTTACTGAGTACTTCTATGTGCCAGGCACTGGGTGAAGCACTTTATATACATCTCATTTAAACAGATTACAATTTAGTGAGAATTATATAACATATGGTGATTCAGGGTACATGCAAGTAGTTTGAAAGCAATTAGTTGAACGAACATAGTATTACTGACTTAGTGGGTACCCTAAGAAATGTTTAAATCTGAATTGAAAAGAGGGACAGAACACTGTCATGTGAGGTGACCAAGAAGGATCCGTGATGTGAAGCAAAAGGAACTGAAACTTAGATAAATGGAATGAAGGATATGCAAGGCAGACAGTGAAGCCTGAGCAAAGTATAGAAGCAAGAATGAAGGGATCCCTGGGTGGCGCAGCGGTTTGGCGCCCACCTTTGGCCCAGGGCGCGATCCTGGAGACCCGGGATCGAATCCCACGTCAGGCTCCCGGTGCATGGAGCCTGCTTCTCCCTCTGCCTGTGTCTCTGCCTCTCTCTCTCTCATTCTGTGTGACTATCATAAATAAAAATAAAAAAAAAAAAAAAGAAGAATGAATACACAAGTTTGGGGATGAGGAAGGGATGAGATGAGGGTTAAGCATGGAGAAGCTGCAGAAGGAATGGAAGGAAAGAATTAGATGTCAGTTCTTGAGATGTTCTTCAAGGAGCCTGTATCTTTTATGTGTATTGACAGTGGTTACAGGTAAACTCTGGAGTCTACCTGCCTAGGTTCATATCCTCTAGCTGCTAGCCTTGAATAGGTTAGGTTGGGTTCTTTGGTTTGGTTTTTTTTTTTTTTCTTTTTAATAGAAAATAGGATTGGGGGATCCCTGGGTGGCGCAGCGGTTTGGCGCCTGCCTTTGGCCCAGGGCGTGATCCTGGAGACCCGGGATCGAATCCCACGTCAGGCTCCTGGTGCGTGGAGCCTGCTTCTCCCTCTGCCTGTGTCTCTGCCTCTCTCTCTCTCTCTGTGACTATCCTAAGTAAATAAAAATTAAAAAAAAAAAAAAAAAAAGAAATAATAGAGATTCTTTATACACTTTGCCCATTTTTTCCCAATGGTGACATTGTGCAAATTACAGTATACCTAAACAATCAGGATGTTGCCATTGATAGTAGTGCAAGTTAACTTTGTTTCTTGTAAGTCTGTTTCCTTGTCTGGAATAGTATGATCTTAGGGTTATTGTGAGGAAGAAATGCATAAGTTACAGTACATGCCAATATCGTTACATGTTACTGTTACTATAGATCTGGTTGCCTTCTATCAAGTATGTTAAATTCCAGGCATTATGTTAAGCAGTCCCCTGATAGATGTTTTAAACTTTACAGATTTTTCTTTGATAGACAGTGCTGCAGAGAAAACTCCTATACTGTATATACTTGTGCCTGCCTAGGATTCTGTGGCAAAAGATTCCTAGAAGTGGAATGCTGGGTCAAAGAATGTGTACATTTTAAATTCTGGTTAGATTTTACAAAAAAAAAAAAAAAAAAAGATTTTTCCCATGTTGCCTTGCAGAAAGATGCTACCACCTGATTCTCTCTACAGTGTTAGCCATTTTAACTTACTCTATCTGGGAACTTCCCAGTAACTCTGAAATGTACTAGTCATTTCTATCTTTTACAGAGAGGTAAACTAAGGCTTAGAAAAATTAGTTAACTTGCTCTAAGTCACATAGACATCAAGCGGCAAAGCATTATTCAAACCTAGGCTTGTCTTACTGTAAAACCCAAATTCTTTCTTTTGCACCATGGTGCCTCCTTTTTCCAAGTATTGACTAGAACCTTGGGCATGCAATTAGAGGCTCTCCAAATTGACAATGGCTCATTACTTATGAGTGCTGGTTGGGACATCATTCATTCAATAAATATACATTGAGCAACTACTGTGCCCACCACTTTTCCAGGAAGTAGGAGTTAAAGCAGTGAACATGTAGAACCCTTTCCTTGTAGAGATTACATTCTACTGGGGGAAAGACAGATGATACGTAAATAAAAGTTATAATAAAGTGTCATAAAGAGCATTTGAAACAGCTGGATAATAGCCCTTTCTGATCTACTGCAGAGCAGGTTAGATTTTCTCCATTAACCATTGATACTGGTATTGCAAGTAAATTTATATGCCTGTCTCCCCTACTTGCCTGAGCTTTTAGGGCAGGATTCTGTCTTTGAATCTTCAGTACCTGGTATTGTGACTAAAATATAGCAAAAGCACAATAAAAAAATTTTTTTAATGTTCTCATAGCTGACTGAACAATTGTGCCCAGTGATGTTTAGTGAGTATACATGCTAATCTACAACTGGTTCTAGAGACAAGGAGGATATTGTTTCTGTGCCTTGGAATACTGATTCTCAGTCTGTTAGATTAACTTCAAAATTACCTATGAAGGTTTCCCCCCCACCCCCGATAATTATGACGCACTACCCTAGCTAAGCAGTCTTGAAAAGATAGTGGTTGTTGGCCTTCTAGTGGTATTGGTAAATAATGCTAGCTTTGTTACTTTGCTGCCCTTAAGAGTTCCAGTCAATGATTGAAGACTGCCATAAACTCAAGTGATGTCAGGACACAGAGTAACAGTATTCTAAGCTGATCCAGTCTGACTTGGGTGAAGAGCCTTGATCAAAGAAAATTACAAACCTTTGGTCCAAGATTCAGTATAGGTGAAGTAAACTTAACATCCCACCAACTGTTGGGAGACTTAAATTACTAAGGCTTATCCTAGGGTTACTGTATATTATCAAGTGAAAAACTAAACTCAAGGAACGCCTGGGTGGCTCAGCGGTTTAGCACCTGCCTTCAGCCCAGGATCAAGTCCCACATTGGGCTCCCTGTGCAGAGCCTGCTTCTCCCTCTGCTTGTGTCTCTACCTCTTGCTCTCTGGGTCTCTCATGAATAAAATCTTTAAAAAAAAAAAAAAAACCACACTAAACTTGAGAAGCAAGAGGATTAAAAGTATTTACGTTTTAGAAAAAGGACTTTTAGTTGAACATTTTTCCTCTGGGTTCCAATACTTAGCATATATTTGGCAAGTTTCTACATTTCTTTAAGCCTGTTTCTTCTGTAAATTGGGGAGACCAGCCCTTTCAGAGGTGGTGGAGAGACTGTTTATACAGTGTGCCTCACCCAATGGCTAGCAGAGAAACTTCATGAGCTTCACAGAGGGAGGGCATTACTTCCTCCTACTACAAAGAAAGGCATGAGCTTTCTCTTGCCTCGTAAGCTCTCATGTTCCCATGATCTTTTCAAAGATAAAGGTAAATATGAGCCATGTCTTTTCCCAATTACATATATAATCATTCTTTTAATCATTTTATTAAGTTATGTATAATTTCTGAAGATGAAATATATGTATATACAACTTTCTAACAAAAAGATTCGCTTTTTAAGGTAAATAAGCCTTTACTTTGCTCAAAAGGCATAATGGAGTTTCAAAATGGAGTAGTCAGTAAACGAGCATCACTGAGCAAGAGCTATAGAGACAGTAGGAATAGACTTCAGCCCAGATTTGCCCACCCCCACCTTAGCTCCCCAACCTAAGGTTGAAAACCTAGTAAGATATGCCATTTTGGGACCAGGCTGTATAAAGTGATTGGTTATCCTAAAGCTCTTATTCTGTCATACAAGCACTTGGTAATGAGAGACATTTCAAGTTTACTGTTCAAGCTGACCTCAGATAAGAGGTATCACTATATCACACAGAAGATATTGCACATCACTCCTTTATTATACTGATCTGGAAAAAAGACTTAGTACAGTTATGCTCACAATGAGTACTGGGCCCCAGTGGCAGGGCCAAGCAACTGGAACATGATCAGAAATAGATACAGTTGAAAGACACACTTGGACATGATCAAGAGGCATTTCACTGCCATAAAACATTAAGGCAGGGGAGGGCTTCTAAAACACACAGCAGGATGAACTCCGAGCCTTGGAAGTCAAGGAGTTTATCCCACGTTGGTGTGAGGAATGGCTTATTTTTGGATGATCACATGTGGGAATATTTCAACCGCCACTAGAAACCCCAGATGGGGTTTTGTTTTGTATTTTTAATATATATGTGTGTATATATATATACTTTTTTTTTTTTGTAAAAGTAAATGCAACACATAAAACATTCAGATTGATCCCAATCTTCTGGAGCCAGCTCTTTGGGGTCAGAGGGGAAATAACTGCTTTAATCACCGTGCAGGTTACATTCATCTTCCACTGGAATGACTAGAGCTCACTACACACTGCCCTCACCTGACTACAGGATAGTACAGGACTAGCTCCTGGGAATACACATAAGCTCTCTTGCTTCTCATTGGTTACACCTAGCATGGCTTCTCCCCATCCCCTACTCAAGCAGGTCCTTAGTAATAAAGCAGTAACAAAAACCCCAGAGTTACTAATTCTCTACTCTTGGATACGAGTCTTCTCTCAGCTTGGACTGAGGACCCATGCCCCAGAAGTGCCATTTGACTAGAATATATGAAGGGAGTGGGTGCAAGAAACAAAATGGCTAAACAAAATTAGGAGCCACTGGTCCCCATCTGCAGCTAAAACTTAAGATGCCTACAGATGCGGTCAGTGTGACATGTGCAGGGAAGAAGTGCAGAGGAATGGGATGGGCAGGGAGGGTATCCTCAGGAAAGCAATCTGCCCGCTCGCCTTTACTTTTTGGCCTTGCCCTGGGCAGCCACAGCTTCCATGGCTTTACGCACAGTTTCTTCATCCCCCAGGAACTGCATGGGCTTGATGGGCTTCAAGTTCTTGTCCAATTCATAGACCATGGGAATACCTGTTGGCAGGTTCAGCTCCATGATAGCCTCTTCAGAAAGACCTGAAAATACACACCATGATCA